ACGCACTGGAAAATATTTATCTGGGTTACAGCTATATCTATTATTTGATTTCTGACTTTGTACGGAAAATGGTGTTAGTACTGATATACCAATATTTTAACTCATGGAGTGGCAGCTGAAAGTAATTCTTTTTTAATGGAATCGATACTTTCTTCATTCTTTTAAATTCAGTACTTTAACAACACAAGAAAATAGAATTGATTTGTGCTCTGAAAATTGTTGATACAAGCACTGTTTTTTTTTTTTTTTCATTTTTTTTCATGGAAAATCATAATTGTTAATTATTTTGTTCAAAAACAAATACCAATTCAGAATTCCAATAGCTGTACAATGAAATGAGTTTTGATTGCATATGAATATTGCTTTTACTGCAAATGGAGTTTTCTTTGGTGCAGGGAATTAATCCATATCTAATTTACCTCATGCAAGCTAATATTATTTTGTCTGAAAAGAAATATTCTTCATGCAGCTGATCTCAATAAGAATTTTTTTTGGCCCGTAATTGCAAGATTAAGTTTACAAAGAAGCTGGGAGAAAGGGAATTAATTTTGTTGATTAATAGAAATATGAAATACTCAGGCAAAATAAACAGAACTTGCAGGATCAGAAGCTGTAGAAATTCTGTAGAATTGACATAAGAATTAATATAAACGGAAAACATAGAATCCTTGTATTACATGCAGAGTGCGGATATTGCAGGGTTTGATTAATCAAGAGATCTGACTAGGTCTGCAAGGTCTGTAACAGATGATGAATGTCCAGCAACTCTAGTCTAGCAAAACAGTTATACTTGTAATTACAAATAAAAATGAGATTTATATGAAATTGAAGCCTGATGATTAAGATAGCATCTCTGAAATGATTGATGGTGAAGCAATATTAACTCTCAGATGCCGAAGTCAAGAGTGAAACTAGGTCTCTGTCGGAAAATTGAACAAAAATTGGTTCTCTACAAATGCCTTTCGTTTCTTGATTGCAGAGACCTTTTTTTTCATCTGAATTGCCACTTGTAATCTATTGCAGTAAAACATTTCCTTAATGGCTAGATACTAAAGATTTTTTTCTTTCTGCCTCGAGACAAGAGATTTTTTTATGCTAAGCTTTCCGAGTTTGGGAGGAGAAGAGGGAAGTAGTTGTAAAGACATACTATGTAGGTACTGAACATATATTGAAGATGACACTTACTGACAATTCATGTACAATTAACAACATGTGGTAAAGCCAATGTTATTTGATTACCTAAATTACTCACTACATTGTTTTCTTTTTTTTATTTCTGTGGATGGGAAAGACTTTGTTAATTAATACTCTGAAAATAGTACCTGACCTGAAGCGACTCAGATTAATTTATGTGCACTTTAGATTTGACTTGGAAGCACCTTTTTAGCTCTACTGGTCAGAGACCAGAAGAGCTTATGTGATAAGCATCCTGGGGTAGTCTGTCTGTCTGTTGTTCAAATTATGTCCCCCGGGGATAGTCTGGGGCCGTCTGTCTGTAAACAATTTTTACAAGAAATATAAAGGAACATTTTTAGTCTGATTTCAATATTACTTGGCACACAAGTAGACTACATTAAGATACATAGAATAGTGCATCGGTTTTTGATTTCGATGAACTGTGTTGCCATGGTTACTAAAAATAGAATTTTCTGTGAAATTCCTTAAAAACACTACTCCTTCTACAGTTTTGGTCTGTTTTCAATATAACTTGGCACACAAGTAGACTTACACTACGATAATATATAGTGCATCAGTTTTTGATTTCGATGAACGGTGTTGCCATGGTTAAAAAATAGAATTTTCTGTGAAATTCCTTAAAAAGCATCCTTCTACAGTTTTGGTCTGATTTCAATATAACTTGGCACACAAGTAGACTACACTAAGATACATAGAATAGTGCATCAGTTTTTGATTTCGATGTGGTGTTGCCATGGTATATAAAAAAAATTTTCTTAAAATTCCTTAAAAACGCTACTCCTTCTACAGTTTTGGTCTGATTTCAATATAACTTGGCACACAAGTATACTACACTAAGATACATAATTTAGTGCAGCGATTTTTAGTTCGATGAACGGTGATGTCATGGTTACTAAAAATAGAATTTTCTGTGAAATTCTTTTAAAACATATATTCTACAGTTTTGGTCTGATTTCAATATAACTTGGCACACAAGTAACCACTAAGATACATAGAATAGTGCATCGGTTTTTGATTTCGATGAACTTTGTTGCCATGGTTACTAAAAATAGAATTTTCTGTGAAATTCCTTTAAAACGCTACTCCTTCTACAGTTTTGGTCTGATTTCAATATAACTTGGCACACAAGTAGACTACACTAAGATACATAGAATAGTGCAAATCAAAGTTTTTGATTTTGTTGAACGGTGTTGCCATGGTTACTAAAAATAGAATTTTCTGTGAAATTCCTTAAAAACACTACTCCTTCTACAGTTTTGGTCTGAATTCAATATAACTTGGCACACAAGTAGACTACACAAAGATACATAGAATAGTGCATCAGTTTTTAATTTTGATGAACGGTTTTGCCATGGTTACTAAAAATAGAATTTTCTGTGAAATTCTTTAAAAACGCTACTCCTTCTACAGTTCTGGTCTGATTTCAATATAACTTGGCACACAAGTAGACTACACTAAGATACATAGAATAGTGCATCTGTTTCTGATTTCGATTAACGGTATTACCATGGTTACTAAAAATAGAATTTTCTGTGAAATTCCTTAAAAACGCTACTCCTTCTACAGTTCTAGTTTGATTTCAAAATAGGTTGGCACACAAGTAGACTACACAAAGATACATAAAATAGTGCAATGGTTTTTGATAAGTACAAACCAGTAGAGCTACAGTCTCGACAGAGACTTCTGGTTTTGTTTCCCAAAATACCTGTGTGAAATATTTGAACTCTTTATAAGATGTAATCTTTACAAGACGGTGGCTTTAATTGAAATATACTGCAGTGTGTGGCAGGTTAATTAATACGTCAGTTTGCAGGTAGCGTGAACTCTGCTAATCGAGATTTCAAGGTAGATTTAAGGAAAGGACTCCGATTTTGTTTCTTCTTCCACTGGATTTGCTTATCAGCGGTACTGGTGTATTTAGTTAAATGGCCGGTGTGGTCGAAACAAGTTGTGACATTTAAACCCCCCTCTTGAATTCATAAGTTTTTTTTTACGTGAGAAGCCGCGGTGAAGTGTTGTAATAATAGCCGATTTGATTGGCGATTATATTTGTTAATTTGTGCTTCACCTAAAAGAACATTATAATCTTGTCAGATATATATGGAATTTGTGACAGGTACCTTGTATACATATAGACATGTATATAACTTATTACTCTCTGGAATCTTTAAGAGCATAAACAGGTAAATTTTCAAATTAAAAATCACATTTATATAAGTACATTTTTAAAGGTCAGAGATTTAATTGTCAAAATGTTTTTCACTTTATCTTATTTGAATCAAATGTTGTTAAATGGTAGCAATTGATTTACATCCTTGGGCATGTGAATATTTTTGCATTTAACTCAAGAAAAAGATTTTATATATGTTACAAAGTGTATCACATTCATCTAAAAATGCTTCACTTCCCTGCACTACTTTTAAAATCTAGTTTTATTTATTTGTGCATTCACTGAAATAAAGCATTAATTTATTTACAGACTTTACTCTCACATGTCTTGCATGTTATGTCTGTGAAAAAGTCCAGATAACTAATAAGCTGTACAAATTAGTGAGGGTGAAAGCATTGAAAAATAAACAGTGTTTTTCACTGATATAATGTAAAGAAACAGGAGCCAGAGTCAACAGATGGGAAATGTATAGAGCGTAATGGCAATAGTAGTATCAAATAAGTGGTCAGACTTCTGACTAATTTTCTCTATCATTACCCTTATTAGCTGTTTATTTATTTACTAATGACTAAAAAAAAGAAAAGAACATGCAAAATAATATTTCTTCTCGGACAGAAGCACTGTAGGGAAGAATGAGATTTTTAAAGTTATTTTACATTCCGGTGAATGCAGTATGTTTACCACTTAAACTTAAATTAATTGGTTTTCCCCTATTATTTCCGATTCTAATGGACTATAGGGCAGTACTGCTTTAAGCTAAACGGCATTTTAATATTCCTGTTCTTAGAATATATAACCAAGCATGGACTTTAAATTTCCCAATATATTGAACTGAATGAATGAATGAATATAGCATTTGTTATCATAATTATCACCTAGCCCAAAATTACATTTTTTCCCATATGAAAAGGTTTAATTCCCAGATGTATTGTGTTTTTCTGTCTTATATTGCATTTAAGTATGAAAGAAATCATATTGTTCATTTCAGAATGAACAGTTCAATTTCTTTGGAATTTTTTTTTTGCACCTATCCCATATTGTAGAGGTAATTTATTTTATTTATCGCACCTGAGGCAAATGTAAAGCGGGTTGAATATCACGGGTATATTTGTGTATCGATTGTTTATACGGTGTGAAAAAATATGGCTTAAATCTAGTTGTTTGCATACATACATGAGTGGTTGAATGTGTAATTCAAAGGCATTAAAAGTATTTGTTGTATGGACTCGAACAAACAGCAGTTCAACTAGAAATGGTTAAAATGCTTCATTTGAGTGGAAAATCTGCAAGATTATAATTGCATGATTCTCGAATTTTGGGTCCACAGGCAGATTGAAATCTAATGTTGTTGTCGGAATTTCCAGACGACTTTCATCGATCATTGATCATGCCATTAAAGAGTTAACAGTGAATTACAATGAATATGTGGTATCATTTAAACAGATCTGATATTGTTGCTGGGTAATTCTAAACTTTTTGGTTGCAGCATCAACAGATTTAATGGATAGCATTATATAATAGCTACATTTACGATAAAGAATGCAAAAATACACCCCAATTATATAATGATATTACCGCGCAGCTATACGGATAGGAAATCAATTTTCAAGCATTCCAACTGTAAATTCATAGGCCTTTCAGAATTTTTTTCCAGTTTGAATGAATAGCATTGGATTAAGGCGCAGAATGAGTTGCCCCAGTAAAAGTATAGCTAGAGACTTCTGGTCTCCTATAGTTTATTGAACTTCACAATTGTCAGTGGATGTCATGTTACAAAACTAGGGTGCAGTCAATATTTTGTGTAAACCACTTGTGTGACAATGTGCAGGAATGGTGACTGATTTAACAATCAATGCAAAGAATGTTCTCTTTTTTCCAGATATGTGATGGAACTAGATGTACATAGTAGCTCGGAGTATTAGAATAGGATAATCTTTAACTGATTTGAATCAGGTACACATTTTATTTATATGCCCATGCAGTATAGATTTTCAAATTCAGATAAAAGTGTGCTCTATCTAAAAAAAAAAAAATGTTATTTTTTATAGCAGAATAATTTAATAAAATACATTTGATATTCTCGGTATAGACAAGACACTTGGATTACAGAATAAAGTCTTGTTATATTTTTTCTTTGAATTCCATTTTGGAAAAATATACCAAAATTTTACTGTATATTCTATATAAACAGTATAATGGTTAATAAATAATTTATTACTGTCTGAAAGCATTCAAATGATAATGTTATGTGACACAATCTGGGAGGAAATACCTGCAAGCTTGTGTATGGAACCACTTTGAATCAGGCTTCATCGTGTTACATTCAGCACATCTGGTTTGGATCAATGATCATGGGGGAACATGCTTAGATTCTGTCTCTTCGGAGGAATTTTTACAATATCTTTATATTCGTTGTCAAATTTTAGAAGTTTGTATTCATTCGATCAATTCTGGGGAAATGAATTTTTTTTTTCTTTTTTAAAGAAATACCTATGGTAGATTTAATCATCAATTTAAGTAACTATTTAGATCTGAAGGTTACCATAGGTACTCATGGTTGAATCCCCTTAAACTTTATAAACTGAAGTAATTTTGCTCTTGCACATAATCGGTTTTTCTTTCTTTCTCATAAGATATTTATCAGTCTGTAGTCCTTCCTTACTATACATTCTCAGCTGGCTATAGCTCACAGCAGGAAAGATGTTGGTTATATAGACACCAATAATATTAGTAATTGTTGTCTCAGCCAGCCTTAACAGTAATGGCTCAGCATCCCACCAGGTGTGTTTAAGTACAGGGATCAATGGCTTCCCTGAGACCTAATTGATCACACAATAACAATGATGACAGTAGAAGGACACACCGTTTTATATTTCTTTTAGTTGGATTTAACACATTGACCGATTTTATGGTCAGCTGTGCTACAACATTGGTGGTATAATATGTGAAACCTGCACAGTATTTACTGTATAAAGTGTGGCCCCTTTCATAATTAATGGCCATGATAAATGGGACATTAATTATTAAGAAATGAGGTGTAGGAAATAGTCAATGTGTCAAAGGTGGTCCATTAATCGATTGATTTTGTGGAATTTATAGTAGCTAGAACTCAGTGATGAAAGTTGACATGCTCTAAGGTTGTATTAGTTTTCTTATGACTTCATATATATATTAGATTTATTATGGCATTTAATAGCAAGTCAATACCAATATTTCTTGTTCAAAGGTGTATACTAGCAATAGAGTGTACTGTGAGCTTTTTTGATGTTGGAATATTTTAATTCTCTGACAGAGCTAAAAAAAACATGGGCTTTTTTAATGTGTTGGTAATTCACTGTTTCTGCCACAACACACCAGAATGCCATTAAGTTGATTACTCTGTGAGTATAATTACAATGACCCGCTCCAATCAATTTCTTAGCCACCTTACTGATATTCCCCAAGCCAGATCGATTGGACATGCTTCACTTACTTATAAGCAGACCAATTAGTCAGTGAAATCCTTGTGGGAGGTTAGGGGTCAGAATCGTAGGTCGGGGAGGGAGGATTACTTTATCAATAATTGTGGGGCTAGAGTTACAGTGGCTAGAGTAAGGCTTAACAGGAAGGTTGTATGTTGACATTGTGGGGGTGATCATTGAGTGGGGATCTTGCAGTTGAAGGTTTCTTTCCTGGAACAATTAAAGTGAAATAGAGTTAATCTAAAGAGAGTGTGATGATTTTTTTTTGTATTGGATTTTGGTGAAGATTTGACTTTGTTAGATTTGAGTTTTCTGATTAAAAACAGAATTTTAAACATATTGTTTTATCTATCGGTGTATTGCTACTAAGACATGTAATTGCTGAATGAAAGAACAAATTATATGTATTGTTCCCTGACTTAATCCTTTGCACGGACCTTTTTCATCAGTTCTTTTTTTTCAAGTGTTAATTATTGTCTTAGATGTTTACTGAGGTTTAGAACATGCATCTCTTGAATTGAGAAAAATTGGACAAGGTCAGTTTGAAAGACTGACTCAGTCTTATATAAATGTTCATGTATATTGAAGTACCAAGCTATTTTTTTGTATCGTACATTTATTTCCATTGAATTGATGAAGAGTTTGTATTTTAATAGCAAAATTTATGGCTTAGTATATATGTATGCACAGTCACTTGTTTTAATCAGTACTGTAGAAAGAAAGCCATTTAGTTTTTTTGAATGGTGATATTGGAGATGTCTCGGGGAGAAAACTTCTTTATAAATGACATAGTCTCATAAAATTAATTTGTGATTCTTATACCTAATCTGGTATATTTTTTTTCTAGATTCAAAGGATGAGCTGATGGACCAGAGAAATCCTGTTTGCCCATCCCTGTGGGGGCTGCTTTTATTCTTCTTCGTGTGGACCAGTGGTTATGTGGACCCGGTCACCACCAGCACAAACCCCACCTCAACGTGGACCTTCTCAAAGAACCAATCTTATCTGGCCTTCTCCCCCAATCTCACCTCAGTAAAAGACCAACAGATTATCTTGAGTTTTAGGACAAGATCTCCCAATGGATTATTATTCTGTCATTATTTGGAGCATTTTAATCAAAGTTTACATCCTCTGTTGGAGAACTATCATTTTTGTGCAGAATTAAGTCACGGATATTTACAAGTGAAATACGACCTTAACCAGAATTCTGATGTGATTAAACTTGGAAGAGGTAAGCTAGCATACGTCAAAGTGGACAACATTCATTTTATAAATAAACCTAGCAAAGTCATAGGTGTATAAATTTCATTTCTGTCATAAAATTTTACCTTCATAAGTCCAGAGAAAAGATTTATAGACAAAAGCACAGGTAGAACTGCCAGTGTTAAAACAGATGTGTCACTTAGCATTTTTAATATATGATAGTAGATATGAGTTTGTCCGATATGACACTTGTCAGTCAGTATGTTTGTCAGTGCCACGAATGTATTATTATAAAACTGTACATTAATAATGCTGTAATAAGCATTTTTAATATGGTAGGGACACAGTTTCACATATTCACCTGCAAGGAATGTTGTTTTTTACTATATGAATAGAGCGTTTTGTATCTTAATAGACAGGATTGTAGGCATTATATAACTCAAGAGTAATTTTCAAAGTTATAATCATTTCCTTTTGACATCTCAAAAGAATTGAAAAAAGCATGTGGTTTCATTGAGGCTATGTCCAATAGATTAAAAACTGCATGCTATAATTTAAAAATGTGCATAATTTGTAGAACGTGCAAGTGAAGACACCATCTGCATTGATTTCAGGATAATTATACAATGATTTCATTGCTTACCAAACCTAGTAAAATTCTTTTACATGGCCTCTGCCTTATAATGACAGCTTTTGAAACATGGCATTCCCCGTAAATCATTTCCCATATCTAATTTGGATTTACAGATTAGGAAAAGCGCAGTAAATTTAGTGCTGGCTTATTGGCATTTACAGAAATAAATATTGTACAAATTAGGTAGATCAACATTAAGATAACGAGATTATTGAAACAGCAGCCTGTGACATAAAAGTCACAATAGAGAGGCCCCCTATTGGAATGATAGAATCAATTTTCTCTAGCTCTCTCATTGACCTTAGCTGTCAATCATTATTAAGATGGGGCCCCCATCAGCTGTAGGGAGATGAATAGGATTCTAAAGAACTGGAAAGTCATTTTGTATAGTTAATAATTAAAATGAACGACTTTTTTTATAGATCCTGTTAAATATCAATTCTACAATACAGTGTTCTGGAATCTCCATACAGATTAACGCATGTTCAAGTTTTTAAATGCATGTGATTCTATGCCATGCTAAAAAACTTTTATCAGTTTTATGCAGAGGTTTTAACCATAATTTATTACATAAAAAAGTTCAGTAATTCACTGTATTAAGCATGAATTTACTATAAGGGTATTTAATATACATGTAACTGTATTTTACTGTATATTCCTTTACAATATTAAGAACTTAACAAAGGATTATTTGAATACAATGAAATGTGGCATGTATACAAGGGATATGAAGTCAGAGTAGAAATATAAAGGCATTCATTTTATATAAATGTACTGAAAATCTTGGATAATATAGTGTAGAATTCTACTTGATAAAATTGTAACTGCTAAAATCTACCCAAGTATTCTTTGCCAAGATCAAGGTCAAAACTTATCCAAATAAATGTAAAATATATAAACATACAAAGGGATGTCGACCTGTCCTGATGGAATTTGTCTTTCATAAACATGTCTGAGTATCAGAATACCCAATTCCTAAGATATTGATCTTCTAATGCTATCAGTCCATTAACTCTTTGATAAAGTCAGGCGGGCCTTTTGTCATGTATATGTCCTTATGTCAGGACAAAGACGGGTCTTCTATTATTGATAAACTCTCCACCCGTAAATCACAAAATCAATTGGTGATGGACGCACTCAGGGGGATAAGACTGTCCACATTCCACATTGTCCAGTGGTTCACTGGGCAGAGTCTGAATTTGTATGAGCTGGCTACTTAAAATCTAAAAAGCACACATTGAATTATTGACTAAGTAGCTAAATAATGGTCTGTCTAGAACAGTAGGGAAGCTATCTATGATTCATGGATTTTTCTTGAGGGATGGACTTTATGACTGTTTCTAGTACATTAAGGTTTTGAATTGAATTAATGCGTATGAAAACACAATATAACAGAGGTATAAATGGGTATATCCGATTGATTTTCTCTTTGTTTCAATATAGGCATGCCATTAAAATACCCTCTAGAATCTATACTGTTGGTATATAGCTTGGAAACTTTTAATTTGCTGTTCTATAAATTGTATGAGAAATATAAGCTTTAAAATCTATAGAGCACAAGTTTGCTCAGGAGCAATATTTACATATTTCATTGATATTATCATTCTACACATTATATCAAAATATTGAGCCTGATCAGACCTGTGATGGGTGACTTTTACTCAAAATATAGATGTAATATGTACATTTTTTTGTAGAAATCATGGAAATTTAAAATTTACATTTTCGTGACGTCATTTCAAACATATGACGTCATTGCTAATGAAGATATTCAGTGCTTTGATGTCAGCATATATCCCCTTGTTTAAGAACATATTAAATTAAATATTTCTCCGTCAAAGTTTGATTTTGGGGACAAATATTGGTTATTACTGAATAAAATTCTTTTGGTACTATGGATTAGACAGAACATTAAACATACACAATATGACATATTGTATTCATATATGATATACATGATTCTCTTGAGTTAGCCTTACTAAAGGTATACTTATTAAAATATGATATATATACAAAAATTGCTTGTACAATCAGAACTTATTTGTACATAACAGCCAAGGGGGATTAATTAACATAGTTCCCCAAAGACAGCATGTACATGTATGGATGTACTGTACTTGTACAGTTCAAGAAATCATCCTGTGCAGATGAAATTTTGCTAAAGTGGTCTTAACTCTTTCTGATCAAATTTTGTCGAGCATCCATCTGTTTGTCTGTCTCTCTTTTTCAACTTCTAGGCCACTAGGCCAATTTCAACCAAACTTGACAAATTTGTGAAAATAAAGTTCTCACTATTAAACACACTAAAAAGTGATTTAAAGTTGCATTCTCAGGTAAAAGTAAGAGCCTTATTTTTGACAAAATGATTTTGTATGGAAAAGTTCATATTGTATGTATACACTGTACATCTATATTTTATTGTAGCCTTGAATGATGACAGTTGGCATACAGTGGATATATTTTTGAACACTACGACTGGTGAGCTACAGGTCTCCCTAGACAATCTCCTGAGAACCTCTAGATATCTGCGAGCCTATACGCAGTCTTTAGATATCAAGTCCATATTGGACTGGAAACGATTAAAGTCGGTGGTCTCATATGCAGGTAAACATAAACTCATTCTTTTTTTTTGTTGTGAAATTTATGGATCAAATTAATTTATTGTCTGATTGATGATGTAAAAATTAGCATTCCATATATCTAGCACTGCATTACAATTTTTTAAAATACAGTAATGCATGAAAATTGTTCAATTTTGAATCTAGAATTCTTGAGGTCTACTTTTCTTTATTTCGGTTTCATTTATTTTGTCTCGGTAGACATTTCTTAGATATTTCCAAATGTCTTTCAATCATTATCCCTCTGTGAAATTAATTCTCTCAAATCTTTGAAATTTGCATGCTTTTGTTGATGTCAAATTGTACTTGAAGTTTATATGACCAATATTTAATGCTTTCAATTGTTAAAATATCAGCCTATTTTAAAGCACAAGTTTAATTAATATGGATTTTGCCATCGAAAATTTTTGGGGGGAGGGGGAAAGATTAGGTCCATTTGCAAATTCCTCATGCAGTTCTTCTATATTACAAGATGGCATAATCATGTCTTGAATCTAGGATATATCTCTTAAAATCTATTAATGTTCACACATCATTTATTGCTAAAAGTCTGTTTTTGGATGGAATGACTCTTTATACTTGTATAACTACAACCTACTTTATGTTACCTGTGGGTTTTCCAAGCAATAAAACTTAAGCATATATTCTAAATATATATACATGTTGATTTTTAACAATATGATAATTATTTATATTTGTACATTTAAAATGCATTCCTATATCTTTATACAACCACTTCAATTGGTAAATTCATTAGATATATAGGTGTTAAATGGGACTTGTTTTAGCAGGAACTGGCTGTGGAGGCCTCTTTATTTGACATCTTAAAAGAAAAAAAAGAAAAAGTCAAAAATTGTGTTAGTCATATGTACTTTGTTGTGAAAAAAATCCAAAGGAAATCTTTTGCCTGCATCTACAATTGCAAGTAAACCTGTATTGAATTAAAATTAAAACTTAAAAATTTATGAAAAAACTGTATGAACTACATGGATTAATAGTGTATGAAGATATTTTCTCTTTTGTTAAAATGCATGTACTTACTGATGTAAAATATTTGATGCATGCAGATGTACAAATTAAACTCCCTTTTCTTTACAAGCAATCATTTCATTAAAAAAATGAAAAATATATTTTTTGAAAGAGAGATTAGATAGTACAATTCATATTGAAGCTAAAACCCTCTCATTAAATTTCAGGATTATCCCCCTCAGTTTCTCTGGAGTATCATCAGTTTATTGGTTGTCTGCAGTCATTGAAGTATCGGGAACTGATTGAGGTGACATGGGAGGTCTCCCCCAGCATCATCATGCAGGCTGAGTCTGGGTGTCGGGACCTGTGTCGGGAGGAAAACCCCTGTGGGCAGGGGCGATGTATCAACCTGTACACCTCTGTCCAATGTGACTGCTTCTCTCTGGACAGGGAGGGAGAAAAGTGCCAAGACACAAGTATGAAGCTCTCTAGTATAGAATAAATTTGTTATGAAAGGGTGGGTGGGGGCTAATAGTAGGTAAAAGAGGGAAGGGGGATATTTTACATTTTATTTTACCTGTCAGGAATGAGTTTGTATTGCAATGTATTAACGGTAGGAAAAAATGTCTTAGAAACAAGCATGCAGACTTGAGGTTTTTTTTGGTTTGAAATTTCTTTGTTCAAGGGTGGGTGGAGTTTGGGGAAGGAGGGACTTCTTACAATGGCAGGTACAAGAGGGAAGGGGGTTCCTTTGTGTTTTATTGACCAGAAATAAATATATTTAATTATCAGCAGACTGAGAAGTTCAGGTGTTTCTTGTTTGGTAGATGATTACATACACACCTTGTTCTGACTCTAAAAATAAAAACCAAACCAGACAAAAACATATCACTATGTACTATAATATACCCCTGCACTTGAGGTAAAAAAAAAATAGACGATGAATAGTAGATAGTCTACTTTATTACTTGTGTGGCCACAGACGTTCTGTAAATAAATAATTTATGGGGGAAAAAAATCACCTACAGTGTTTTGTGGTTTAGTTATTTGGTGTGAAAATATTGATTTCCATGTGAAATAGGACGCAAAAATTTTCTTGATTGTTTTCAAAGATGATTGAAATATGTTTAAAAAATTAATGAAACCCTTCACATTGTCAAAAGATTTTGATCATAATAGTTTAGTTATGTAGATTTTATGAATAACTTCTTTCAAATGAAAGTCATGATTGATGGGATAGATAAACTTTGTATGAAAAGTAATCTACACAAAAAAGTGAAGAATATTTATTGCAGGTGAAAATTATTGATAAAAATTGAGAAAAATTTGCACTTAGGAAGAAATTTATGATTTTCCTAAGAAGAATGAATAATTCTATGATATTTTGGCATGGGCAGAATTTTTTGATGGGAAATTTTTTCATTGAATTTTTTTTTAAATTTGATTTCTCGAAGAATTGGCTTTTCTAAAGGAAGTTTTATTTGACAAGTTTTTATAATGGAATTTATATAATGGTTGACTAGTCTAACAAAGTGAAAAATAGCATCATACAAACTGCATTTTCTTGATGCCTTCCCTTGAAAATGTTTAATGTTTAGGAAATTAATGTTAAAGAGATAAAATTATAAGGATAATTTATTTGATGCTTTATGATATATTTTCAAAGAAGTGAGGATATTTAAATCCTGTTGCAATTTTCAAAGTTCTCAGCATGTTGAATTTTAATCTATTATTGATACTGCCCACATGTGCACTATAAAATGAATTTGGTGTAAATTTAATGCTCTACATGAACAGGTCACCATGAAAGTTTGTATTAAATTGCAAAATAAAAAAACCTATTTTTAAGCTCTTTATTGGAAAGACTAGCAACAGTTATACATGTATGAGGGTAAAATGACATTTTGTTATTCATTGTTGTAGCTGTTACTGAAATTACACTCCACGGCTATGAATGGTTGACCTACCAGCTTTATACAGAGGAAGAGAGGACCTTACGTGACAGTAACAGATTCAGCTTACAATTCAAAGTAAGCAGGACCATGTAGGGAGGATTCAATTCTCCCTGTCTCTTCTCATTCCTTTTGATGTCTCTTAATAAAAATTGGAAAAACTAATCCTATTACCTTAAAGATATCTGTTTAGTTCACACTTCTTGTGCACAGAAATAAGAAAGATCCATAAAGAGCAGCTTAACACAAAGAATTGTAGATATGTATGTCAGTGCAGAGGAGTTATAAGTGTTCAAATAATTTTACTTTATGCATAAATGATCATTAACATTTTAAAAGCTATTTTTAATTTATGCACTAGGGATAATTTGTTATTTTTAAAAAAGATTATTGGACAGTTAATTGAGAATTTGAAGAGAATTTTCATAAGTATACTTTTCAATTACAATCTGTTACTTTGTAGCAAACCCCTACCCTCACCCCCCCAGCAAAATGTTAAAAATCATGACAGAACAAAATCATGTTTCTTCTTATGTCTTTTATTGGCCTTGAGAAAAATAATGAAATATGACCTTGAGGAAAAAGAAAAAAATTTTTTGCTAGAGCAATGAAGTTGTATTTCATTTAAGACAGAAACAGTGATTTGATTTAATTTCTCATATGCATTCATCCAGAGAATATATTGAATCTGATTTGTCAATCACCCAGTTATTGTTTCTAATTTGTAGTCAGACCGTGGGTCAGGGGTACTCCTGTATGCAGTGGGCAGTACTGACATGGGGGATACCAGGATGAAGCAGCACCATTCCCATGTCATTGCCTCCGTCCATCAGGGAACGGTCAAGGCCTCGGTGGCCTTCGGGGACGACATCCTGGAACAGACCATGGGCCTGGGTGTGGATGATAACAGGTATATATACCACGGTATAGTCATCTGAGTGAACACTTACAATACAATAAGGACAGATGTAAAATACGTACACTAGTCTCTAGCAGCTAGCTTATGAAGATATACATCTTTGTTAAGATAAAAATGATGCAGGAAAATTGACACATAAAATTAGATAATAAGATTTTATAAAATTTTATTATTTTTGATTGTTTAGATGCTGGAATATAATCTTGTACAGTTTTTCACCATAAAACTACAACTGAGATTTATTATTCTTTTTCCCCCTTCTCCTACCTGAAAAATAAATGTTATTTAATTTGAAAAAAAATTATTAAAAAAAAACAAATTGCAAAAGTTTATGAAGTTTTTGAGATACCACAAATGCTAACCCTTTTCTTTCATTTGGAGCAGTGATGGGTAAGTGAAATTTGCACTGTCACATTGCTAGTGACTTATTTACCTTGCAACTTTTAATATCGTATTTAAAAATGAAGCATGTGTATACATGTATGTCGTAATTTATGAGACGAAATGTGATCTGTAAGGAAAAATTAATTCAGTTTATTGAAAGATTTATCGCAGTAGTTGTCCAATAAGATTACACTTCCATCTAATTGAAATTCCATATCATTCAGATTTTTTCTATTCAATGATCACTGAGGAAAAAGCACGATCATTCAAGGCTTAAAAATGATTCATTGTGCCTTAGAAGATCATGTTTCATTGAATTCCATTCTTCATTTTATCTTTCAGTGCTATTCATTTTTGTGTTCTGATGTCTAACTATTTTTTTCATATGCATGTAGATAACTGAATTTTTTTTAAAATATGTGAAGACCTTTATATTTGTTAAAAGTATTGGTTAATCCTGTTAGTTTTTGCAAGTAATTGTCAATTTCATGAAGCATTAGACTTCAGTCACTGTTGTTATTATTTGTCATTGAATATAAATGTAAAATGCCAAAGTATCAAACAGAACCGATCAATCAATGGACAATAGCAGATAAGGTATACATGATAATGAATGCTTTTCTGGTGCTTATGTTTAGAAAACAATGAGTATTATATCTATATTCAACATTATACAACTTATTATAGCCAAGTTCATTGTCGAGTTTTTTTCCCTATTACTTTGCCTTAAGAGTGCACTTTTGAAGCTCAGTAAAGAAGCTAAGTATACCGTAAATTTACTATCTATAATCCAGGTGTGTTCTCATGTTGTTTATAACATATTTCTTGTACATGTAAGTTATCATCAAGTCATGTTTCATAAAGCATTTTTTGGCATCCATGCATTGCTGTAGCAGTAGTGATCTACATTAAGATCTATGGAGAGCTTTGTAAGCAAGCATGACAATGTATTATGAGGCATTAATGTCATCTTGCATCACAGATGAACACACTCAGCTTTTCAGGTGCTCTAGCTGTGATATATTTTGTGTCTTAATTCTCTGTTGTATTCATTAACAGGTGGCACAACTTGACCATTGTCCATGAGAAAGTGAAAGTAGAGTTTTACCTGGATGGCACGCTGTACGTTCACGAGACTGTCAATGATATGTACTACCTGGGCCTGGACCCATACATCTATATTGGAGGCGGTGAAAGCTTTGTACAGACACTGGGTATCTTTATAAAATAATGCAGTAATATTCATACAAAACATGCTTACACCTTTAATATACATTTTTGAACAAACCTTGATGATATTGTCGTAAGTGCAAAAAATATTTTGTGCAAAACATATAGTTAATGAATGTGACAAGGGTGTGCTCCATTTCACTACTCATCCAGGAGCTTTTTGGAGGGGAAAATGCCAATTTAATATTACATTGCAGGACTTCAAGTGAGACAGAACTTTGCTGGGTGTCTGAAGAACATTTTTGTCAATGAGCATTCCATTTTGTATGAACTCCGAAGTAACTATTCCACTAGTCAGCTTCATCCTAGCAACACAGAGATCCAATATGGCTGCCATAAAGTGGATAACATTCCTCTTACATTCCCGAGATCCAGGTCTATCCTGTTCCTATCCGGATATTATGGCAACACATTTAGTATCCAGTTGGATTTCAGAACTGTTAGAGAGACTGCAATTTTATTATCCACCGATATCCAGACAATAAATTCCTTTGGATATCCAGATAAAGGATATTTTGAGGTAATTGCTTTGTAATATTTTCCTTTATATCTTAGAGAAATAGTGAATATAATCGTATTCATTAACCAAATAATTAACAACATTATTACAGATACATGCATATGTTACAGAGATAATGTATAAATTATAAATCAGAAGTTTATAATATAGCTGTATGGATAAAACTTGCAAAATGTATAGCTGCTTGGATAAAACTTGCAAAATGTATCGCTGCTTGGATAAAACTTGCAAAATGTATCTCAGGATTCAGACTTTTAAATCATACATTTTTTGATTGCTGCAACTGACCAGTGCTGTCAAATACAGTTGAACTCCATATCTCGAACACTAATATCTCAAATCCTGGGATATTTTAAAGTATTGAATTTGAGATAACAAGATTTGACTGAAGTTCTTCTAAAATATTTGTTTCTTGTTTCATAAGGATTTTAGTTTTTCAGGAATTATCTTCAGTCAGTTTCTAGCTCATTTATTTCAGAATATATAATTATGTAAGTATATATATTAAAACAGTGCAAGGATGTGATAGTTAATCTAAAGTCTACCTGTAGGTATGGATTAATGGAAGTCTTCCTATGATGAAGTTTGTGAGGTCCATGTACCAGAACACCATTGCTAACACTACTCTGTTACCTGTCAATGTCAGCAATAACAAGTGGCATTCTCTGTCATTCAATCTCAAACAAGGGTAAGTTATCTTATTCAGTCCAAGACTGAAATACTGCATACCAACTGCCACAAGAATCTCACAACAATTATTTTAATTGAAAATATCACAGACTACCAATAAAAACTAGAAGTGAGCAATGAGCTCACTAAATGATACCCCCACCTCCCGTATGGTTATAATGGCAAAGTCCATGTTTTGGTGTGGCCGGGAAACCCAAAATATGTGTTGGATCAAAAAGTAAAACAGGAGGTGCACAATGGCAATATGTAATAAAGATTCTGTGAAAGTTTCATTAAGTTTCACTCAGTGGTATGAGAGGAGTTGTGGATAAGAGATGGGTACCCCAACAGACTTATGCACTGACGGACGGACATACCTATTACTATATACCCTTCCGCTTTTCAAGCGGGGGGTGTAACAAGTGACAACATTTCTTAACTATGTGTTTATTAAGTTTGGCATTGTAACCAGCCATGTGGTTGCAAATCAATTATTTAAGATACATGTGTTCAGTGGATGCCGACCCAATTGGCATGGCAATTTATTGACATGAACCTTCTATTTTTGCATTTAATAAGTAAATTGCTTCATCATTTACAAAAAACAATAGGCATAGATGATTTTTCAAACTTGTGAATTGATAATAATTGTACACTGTATGCACATTAACATTTAACAAATTTTCTATATATTTTTTTTCTTTAGCCAGGTGAAAATTTCTGTGGATAACTTGTCTTTGCCATCAATGTTCATTGGTAATGACTCTCAAATATACAAAAATGTAGAAATAGGATATGGCCACAGAATGTTTGAGGGTAAGAAATCATGGTTTTTCAATGTATTAATATGTATGGTTGAAAAAACCTGCTCTTCTTTGACATAAACATTGTAAATATTTGATTGAAAAATCTGTTTGAAATGTCATGGATGATAAAGTTTAGGTACTTATAGATTAAAGTACTGTAAACCAACTTTTATTCGCGACGACTTTAATTCGCGATTTACCGATAGTAAACTAGTTTGCGACGATTAATTTTCGCGATCAAGCCGTTTTTGGAAGTGTTTTTAATAGGATACTTAAGGACCCGTAGCGATGACGAGGATAAAGTATTGGTTTACAGTATTTAGTGTATTTTCTCTCTGTTGTCAATTTTAATGAACTGTTATCTTTGATTGCCTTTAAATCTTCACACTCAATCAAACACATTATTTCAGACTTCGTAGGATTTGTTGGCTGCATCAGGAACATAGTCATACAAGGACAATTCCTGGACCCCATTAGTCTGATGGAGAGTGCCCCCCCTGGGGGGTACCACGTGGGGCTCAAATTGGACGGCTGTCATTTGGTGGACCATTGTCGGACCCACCAGCACTGTCGTAATGGGGGGCGGTGCCTGTCAGACTGGGATGGGGTGACCTGTGACTGTTCTAGCAGTGCCTATCAAGGCAAATATTGTCAATTTGGTGTGTATTGTTTTACAATGAATTTTAGCATTAAAACATACTATAGAAACACAAATTTTCGTGGGCATAAAATTTTGTTGATTTGTCATCTAGGAAGGTTTGATGGACATAAAATTTCATTGTTTCGAAATTAAAGCGATGCAAAATATAGTCATATAAAAATTTCATGTGGGATTTATTTTCATTGATAATCAACGAAATAGATAAAATTTAATCCCTCAAATATTTCTGCTCCTACAGTATTTGAAATTCCAACAACACTCTGGCAGGACATATGCTGAACGGCAACTAGTTGTTAATACATGTAATGATGAAAAGTGCAATAAAATGAAAATAACGTTTGGCATTGCAAGCTTTTGTACTATCTAATCCCTGTTGATGTGTACCATCTTATCACTGTTGATGTTTTACAGCACGGTACAGGAGCAGCTGTGACAGTTACTACCAGAGTGGCTGGAGGAGTTCGGGAGTTTACGTCATTGACGTGGACGGCAGTGGTCCTGTCGAGCCGACGTACGTCACGTGTCAGATGGGAATCAGGACTGACGGAGATTATTACGGGCAGACCTTGATAGCACACAACCTCAGCAACCAGACTAAGGTCCGGGGAACAACACTGCCGGACTTGATGATGAGGCTTAGCTACAGGTGAGGGGAAAGAAGAGTGGGGTGGATCCAGGAATTAACTTCTTAGATATTGATTGAAGTGCATCGGTGGTAAAAAAGTGAACGATGAGACATTTAGAGACAACATTATGTCAAATGCCTTGTTCTCTGAAGATGTTGATCTAGATAGCCACATATACATATTTAATGGAGGAAATAAAGAATAAAATGTTAGGTAAAATTGTATAAAAAATGACTTGTTTCCTTCATTTCAGAGAGATGGGATTTGTAGAACTTCAGAAGCTAACACAGATGTCAGCCTGGTGTGAGCAATATGTCCAATATACCTGTCTCAATGCTCCCTTAAGGCAAGTCTTAGCTGTTGTTAGTTTTATTAATAAAAGCAGTTTCATATGGAGAGGTGATTAACTGTGCAAATAATTTGAATTCTAAGATTATTAAAAAAAAATTTGAGATTAAGATAAGGCTTTATTTGGGTAGTAACAATGACAGATTATTTCCATTTTTTCTTTGAAAATTTAGCACTTGCTTGTCCTTAAACATTAAGCATTCTGATAACTACTAACAATGATAGATGGAGATCTTGTTTGTTTTTATGTAGATTGGGAAATCTGACCAGTTTTAAGTCAGTGGATGGGACGGTGGTACAGTACATAGGAGATGTGGACCAGGCTCCCTCCTCAGGCTGTAAGAAGAGAGCCTGTAACTGTGATAGGGGTAAGTCTGTAACTGTGATAGTGGTAAGTTTGTAACTGATAGTGGTAAGTCTGTAACTGTGATAGTGGTAAGTTTGTAACTGATAGTGGTAAGTCTGTAACTGTGATAGTGGTAAGTCTGTAACTGTGATAGTGGTAAGTCTGTAACTGTGATAGTGGTAAGTCTGTAACTGTGATAGTGGTAAGTCTTTAACTGTGATAGTGGAAAGCTCAATACAGAATAATGATGTGAGAGGCTCCCCAATACAACATTATACTCAATTTCTAGGGCTTTATGGATGCTACAAAAGACAAACACGACATTACTTGTTAAATTGTTTTGGAATATGTGTCGAGTTTTATTTAAAATTTTGTTTCAAGTCTTTATGCACAACTAATTGATTATATTTCAGAGGATATGGTGGCGCGAGAAGACAGTGGTTACAATAGGATTACAAGTCAACTCCCTATTAAGGAAATTACAGTGTACCAGTTCACTGATTTCAAAACACCAGATTCCAAAGGATTCCTTACCATTGGTCCTCTAAAATGCTGGGGAAACAGTGAGTTCATTTAACCAAAATTTTATAGCAAACTTCAATTTAACTTCATAAAATATTGTTTGATGTCAAAAGAAATAGTTTCCTACAGATGATGTAAATAGCTTAAAATAATTATGTATCTCATTTCTCATTTATGTTCTTCAATCATCAATAAAACGTTTTCAAGTAAAAAGCTTCTTCTTTTGTCAGAGGAGAGTGTGAGTTGGTCAGCTGTGACCTTTGTGACAGAGGACTCTTTCCTTCAGTTACCAGGCTGGGTGTATGGAGACATGGCCTTCAGTTTCCGTACCCACCAAACCTCCGCTGTACTGATGTATCAGTCCTCGTCCAATGGAGACTGGTTCAAAGTCACATTAGTCTATGGTAATTATTCAATCTGGGTCTAGATTCCCAAAGAGAAATCCTTTTTTGTAATACATGTTGAGGACGTACCTTATAAATGCTTTGGCCAAAACTTTAAAAAATACAATGATAAGTCTAAAAAATACATAGTTTTAGTCGCTGAATGAAAACTTGTTAAATTATGGAATTGCATTATTTTTAAAATTATGTAATTCTTTTTTAAATAGAGGATTCCATTAGAATAGAAATTCAGATAAAGGAAAACCTAATTTTAAGTGAGACATTGGATGCTGATAAACCACTGAATGATGGGGCCTGGCACAGGGTAACCCTAGAACTTAGTTCTCACGAGGTTCGGTGTGGGCTTGATTCCATGAGAAAGATTGTGTCCATTCCATTCCACAGTAATATTACATTTGATAACTACCTTTACCTTGGAGGAAAAATGTATGAGTAAGTATCCAACAGTTACAGTAAACATGGAAGTTTGTTTGCAATGTTAATCATGCAAATAGAAGGTGTAGATTTAAGGGTTTTTATTATTCCCGAAGATGAAAAACAGGGGTCTATAGTGATGGGAGTTTCCATTCTTCCTTATATTTTTCCATACATTTTTAACACTTGAATTATCCATCTCTTTTCTGCAACTCCTCCTATAACACTGAATAAAATTTAATCAGACTTTTGCAGAATTTATGTTACATAATGCCATTGTGCATCTCAAAATATATGTTCTAATCAGACAGAAGGGGTCTAAGTGGAAGGGTGTGAGAGTGGAGTCTTGTTATGCAGCATTCTTAGAAGCTTAAATTGCACTATCTTTTCTGCTCCATCATTTTGTACACTCCCTCATGTCTTATCACTATCTCATTTTAATGCTTCAAAGGCAATAAAGTATAAAAACCCTAACAGCATAAGGAGCATTAGATACATTAACATTGTAGTCTGTAGCCCTGAGTGTGATGTCTCACTTAATAGCTGCAATCATCATATTGACAAAATGTTTTTACCTGTAAGATTTACTTGTGATTTATGATTATCATGATAATTCTACCAATAAACTTGATTTGTTTGATATAGCAGTGGATCCTATGACAACTTGCCTGGATTGATTGGCTGTGTGAAAGGACTTGTGTATAATGGCAGACCTAGGAATCTTATCAATGATGTATATGATGAGTATGTTTTATTTATTTTTCATCCTAAAGAGTTTCAAATTTTACAAGCATATATAGAAAAGGAATTTGATATATACTTATTCAACATTTTATTAATTAATTTATTTTTCTTCTCATTTGCCCTTTATATTCTACAAAATGCACTTATTTGTTACTTGGTAAAAAAAAGATGCAGTATTACCCACTATGATGTTGGAATATGAGCACATTGTATTGAAGTAAAATTCCATTAGCGGGCTCACTTAAGACAGTTGACCATTTTAACTGCTGTTAGTTTCAGCTGTATTGTTAGTTTACAATGTATTGTTAGTTTACAGCTGCATTGTTAGTTTACAGTATTTGTGTTTCCACATTTACAGTATGCCAGGTATACAGAGTGGTTGTAGGCCTCGCTGCTCTATTGTTAGTTTACAGTATTTGTGTTTCTATGTTTACAGTATGCCAGGTATACAGAGTGGTTGTAGGCCTCACTGCTCTATTGTTAGTTTACAGTATTTGTGTTTTAAACGTTTACATTATGCCAGGTATACAGAGTGGTTGTAGGCCTCGCTGCTCTATTGTTAGTTTACAGTATTTGTGTTTCCATGTTTACAGTATGCCAGGTATACAGAGTGGTTGTAGGCCTCGCTGCTCACCTGATCCCTGTCAGAATGGAGCACAGTGTGTGGAGATGTGGAACAGCTATCAGTGCATCTGTACTAACGAGTGGGCTCACTCAGGCCACAGCTGTGAAATCAGTAAGTCTTCTTAAACATAATCTAGTGTGATGCAACCAAAATGAAAGCAAGCAGAGCTCTGAAAAATGAAGAACTGTCTATAAGAGAGTGCACGATTTGAAGGATTTGAAATGCTTTTTAAAAAGTTGAAAATACTATTTTAATGGTGAATATAGTAAATTAAGTGCTTGCAATGCAAATAGTTGAGAAAAAATTCTGAGAGAAAATATTTACTCTCAAAAAATAATGCATTAGAAATATGAATAAATATTGACAGTTGCGTAAAATAAAAGTTAAATCTCCATTTCAGATATAAATGAGAATGTAGTGACCATTACTGGTGACCAATCAGCATTCTTTGACCTGAGGGTTAGCTCTAATCCCCTGGAAATGGAGAACAGGATCATCTTTAGCTTCCACACCCAGCTGAGGGAGGCCCTTGTCTTCTATATGTATGATGAACTGAACAACTTCATCCAGTTAGAGGTAGTGGAGGGCAGGAAGTTACGATTCAGCAGAAACAACTTCCAGCAGATCTTCTACACAGACATAGATGTCCCAGGTATGTACTCTTATAAGCTTTCACCTGATAATTCTGTGTAAATTATTACAGATGATCGAGTATAACTGTAAATCTTCACTCTAAATTATTCAGGTGAATATTCCTAATTCTCACAACAATGTACTTTTTAAAATCATTCTCCTGAAAGTAATAACTTTTGACAGACTTTTTTTTGTGATTTGTTCATTTTATGAGAGACCTCTGATTTTAAATTACGTGTTTCATCCTTTGGCCAAGTGTGCAGTGTGCATGTTGTGTAAATGTCTAACTGACGAACACCAATGTTGTACATATTGATGTATAAAAATTTTATGAAAAATGTTACTTGCTGACAAAATCCAGAGGAAGAGTCTCCATGAAATCACGGATCATTTGTTTTCCTCTTTTTTTTAGGGTGTGGGGGGGGGGGGGGGGGTTCAAACATTAAGTATATTGGCATTGTTGCATAAACTGTGTACAGTTGCATTCTAAAGCCTAAAATGAAGAACATGGAATAATATAATAGTTACCTTTGATGCCTTTTTTGTTTTTTCTAGGAATCACAGAACCCACATGGAAACAAGTCGTCCTGGATCCTTCAAAGATAAATGTGAACGGAAAAATCACATACCTGAACCGTGCTAACAATAAGTTGGAATCAGGCTACAGCAGTGACCCATTTGCTGGTGAAAGTAAGGATAGCAAATACATTGTGATTTTGCTTAGATAACATAATCAAGCACATGCATATAAAAAATTTGTAACACTCATAAGATAATGATTTACAAGTCCCTATATAAAAGAATTTTGCAAGATTTAAAAGTTGATATAGGATGATTTCCAATATATTTTAGTGGAAACCGTCAAGCCTCCAAGACCAAAAGAGAAACAACCACCTTTCCTTAGATTATACTTAGGTGGAACTCCTGCCAATGTAACTGAGTTGGATAAGTTTCAAGGATGTTTCAGGGGGCTCAAAATAGGGGACCGTCTTATTGATTTACAAAAGAACTCCGAGGGTAATACAGGTGTGTAATTTTCTTTTGTTCTTAATGAAGTGGAATTTTCAAATTGTGCTTTTCTGATCAAAATTTGTCTGTTGTCTGTCATTGTTGTCACAAGCTGTTCACAGATTCAGCTTCTCCAGAACCCTGGGCCAATTTTATGCAAACTTCGCATAGAATATCCTAGGGTGAAGGGAATTCAATTTTTTTTTTTTCAAATGAAGAGCCGTGCTCTTTTCTAATGGAATTTAATTAAGAGTTAATAGCCATTCTCTGTAACCACTTAAACTTCGCTGCCACGCATGGTCACTGATTTTGATGAAACTTCACCCATGCTTAGTACTTGACACCAGAAACAAAGATCAAACAAAATTTCGTTGCTATGTGTCTCGGTTGCTATGGCAACAGCCGAAAAAGTTTGAAAAATCGAGATTTTCAGCCACTTTAAATCTTGACTGTGGCTTAATAAAAACTAGAAAAAGCAAACAAACCATTCTCACAAAAACATGACACCTTGATGTTACTTATACTGTAAAGAAACTGTTTAGAATGTATCTCTAAGTAAGTGGTAACCAAGGGTACATTTGGAATACATTTAAGAGGCTGTTCACTGAAAATCAGGCAATGGGTGGCACATCGCATGTCATGGATTTTTATTATTTTTTGCATATAGACTTATTTAAGCAAGTGTTTACACATGACAACATCAAAAAAAATTTAGTGCTCCACTAGTCCTATTTTTGGTAATTGCTCAATTTTAGGTGCAAAAAGGTCAACATGGGGGTAAAAAAAATTACTACGTTTTTATTTTGTTTTATATGTACCAGATACGCAAAACCTGGATGTGTCTATCAATATTATTTATACCATAGACTCTTATCTTTAATTTTAGTAATGAATAAGACTCCAATTTATGTTTCTTTAGAAAAAAATATGTGGTCCAAAACTGAGTTTAGCAAGTAACTTTTTGAATTCATTATCCAATTTTCATTACGTTATAAAACCCAATACATTTCAATGACAGATTTTTTTCTCATATTATTATGAATACAAAGTACAAACTTTTGAGTCACTCAATCAAATCAGTGGGCACCCTTATATTGAGAGAAATAAAAGGAGTCAAATTTACCTATGTTTTACAATTTTTCACAATTAGACCGATCCCGACCGGAATTATATAAAGAAGGAAATACTATAATTGTAATGTTAAATTTGGCTCTTTTGTTGTAATATGGCCAAAAAATTACTTGGTTTATTTTTGTACATGTCTTATGGGTGGCAGTTGTCTTTAGTTTTATAACTTAACACATTTTGCATTATTTTCAATCGGGATCGGTTTTATTTCAATCGGGATCGGTTTTTACCGTAAAACTAGAAATATTCTGCATTTAATGTATCAGAAAAAAATATGCTTGTCTTTTATTTCTGTTCAGTTAGTCAACTGTTTTAAAATTATTTTATCCATGGATTCAAATGTTTATACAATTTATTTAAAATACTAATGTCTTTTACGTACATGAAGATTACAATCATATATAACATCTGTACGATTTCTTGATACTCGGTATTAAAAAACAAGTATTTGTACATGCATTATGCAACAACTGAGAGTAAACAGCATATCTTTATTAAATATCTTATTTCCAACTAAAGTTTTTTTAAATTCTCTCGTGAATTAAAGAGTTCAATTCTATCATTGGCGAAAATATACTTGCACAACCTAGATGCAGAAAATATTTAAATTTGCACAGTCTCGGCTTTATCCAAATTTTTTAAACCTGTCATCTATAAAAGCCGTTTCCCCTATATTTTCATCTTATAAAATTTCATTTTATATTAATAAGAAAATAAGTTATTTCATAAATAGTATTATGATTTAAGAGGCTAGAAATCGCAAGCAAAAAGCCGGGACGGGGGGGGGGGGGGGGGGGGGGGGCAAGGCGGCATATTTAAAAAAAACTTTCATTAATGGGAAAACATTTTAAAATTGGCCAACATGGTCACATTTTTTAACTTCATATTGAATGTGAGTATGTGATTGTTTCAATCATCAAATTTAACCAACAAAAAACCCAAACAAAAACAATACAAAACAAAAAAGACGCCCACGAAATCTTCCGTTTTAGTGGCAAATTGAAGTGGGGAGTTCAACAGTAATTTTCCTCAATAAATATTCTTTAAATCTTATTTTTCACTCTTTTAATAAAATATTTTTAATCGTACCGCGGATCGTTTACTTTGGTTTGACTGCATAGATAAATATAATCAAGTGTTTTGTGTGTGTGTGTGAGGGTGTGTGTGTGTGTGTGTGTGTGTGTACAAATATCATGAAATAAATATCTCAACTCCGTTGACTTGAATTAAATGTTGCGTAAATCTAAAATATTCATCTTTCCTTGATAATCAGAAGAAAATAAAATCTCTTCACATCCCAATTTTATAAGAAATATTCAATATAAACAATTAATTATTTGTACGCATAGCCTAGTAAATCAGTTTAAAAAAGAAGTAGGTACGGTTTCCTTTATAATTCTGCACGGCGTTTTGAGGAAAAATTAATTTGAAGTTTCAACAATTTCTCCTTTATGAAATTATAGACTAACAAGAAGGTTATTTAAAAATAATGTTCAAATGAACTTAACTTTGCGCATGCGTAAGTTACAATGAATCAAAGTAAGGGCGATAACCCTTTTTTCGTATTTTTCAGTGTCCTTGTACATATATATTAGATAAATTCAATATCTCTGCCATCGTCGCCCGGAACTATTTTTGGTATATTGAAAGATTATTATAAAATGCATAATTTCTAAAAGTTTCATTCCGGGCGACAGTGGCAGAAGGGTTGAAATATTAATGAGAACATTTTTTAACT